ATCGTTCGCAGTCCAGTCTTTGCTTCCTGCCGGTCGCCCGGCCCCTGTACAGATCTGCTGGCCCGGGTTGATCGCTCCATTCGTCAGCCAAAATGCGGTCAACGTTCTTGCTGCTAGGCCTTTGTCTCGCCTCTGCGACCATGGCCGGCGTAGACAAAGTTGATGAGAAGGACATCAGCACCATGGATCTCCTGCCGCCTACGACCGCATCGGCCGCTCCTACCTCTGCTGCACCGTCCAACACCGTCACCTCCGAGACTTCGTCGCCTTCGCAGACCTCGACCACCACCAGCTCTAGTAGCCGCGAATCGTCCTCCACCACTTCCACGTCTTCCACCTCGACGACGGAGACGTCGTCTCCTCCGGAACCAGTCACGACGCACACTTCGCAAACCTCTCACACGACAACCCAGCCCCCAACCTCCACGACGGAGCCGCCATCGACAACTGCTCCCGCAGACAGTTCGTCTGCCACCTCCGAAACCAGTGCACCTCTGATCACTGTGACCACCATCAAGACCATCAGCGGGACTCCTGTCGCGCAGACTTTCACATCGTCTGCTCCGGCCGAGACGGCGCCCCCGAGTCTCAGCGCGAGCAGCGGAGACTCCGGTAGTTCAGGACTTAGCACGGGCGCCAAGAAGACCATCATTGGTGTGGTGGTTGGCGTCGGTGGCGCCATCGTCGTTGCGGGCATTGCCTTCGTGGCGTGGAGAATTTGGGGACGCAACAGGAACGACGGGGATCACGATGAAGACGACTTGATGAACGCCGGCACCGCGGTCGGTTCCAACATGCGCGAGAAAGCACCAAGCCCTGGAGCCAATGGTACGCCATTCAGGTCGACGCTCGACCAGTATCACAACCCGGCTCCAGTGAATGCTGCTTCCAATTTCTAGGCAATCGCTGTACATGCTGTATAACATGAATCATTTCATGTCGTCTGAGTGCGTCGGTTTCCGGTATACCTACACGTCCTGGGGACCTGGGGGACTTGTCTTTCTCGACGGGAAAGATTCTGGAGTTGGACTGCACTTGCGACGGCTTTCGTCATTTTGTTTTCATCTGCCGTTATCAACGTTCGATTAGGGGGTCGATTTTTTTTTCTTCTTACCGGCGCCATGGAGAGGAATATTCACGGATATGATTTTCGTTTTCTAATTTTTTTTTTCGGAATCGCCGTTCCTTATCTGCCTTCCCCCCCCCC